ATGTAAAAAAAAAAGGGAAAAGGACATGAATGGTCAAATGAAAAAAAAATTTGAAGCAACAGCTACTAAATTCCAGGTGTTTAAAACTAAAGGGAATTTAATTCAACTTGAGAAACAGTAACCAGGGGATGTAGTATACAAGGCACTGTAAGTACTGAAAGATAAGACAGCAGCACTTCTGCCTCAAGAAGCTGATCATTTAGTGGGACAGACTCAGTGCAGCACTTCAGGTCTTACTAGAAACGTCACCTTCTAAGAGAAGTCTTCCCTGACCACCTATCCAAACTGTCACCCCATTCCCTGTTACTTTCTATCACAGGTGTCAGCAAACTTTTTCAGTTAAGGGCTAAACAGTAAATACTTTAGGCTTTGTGTGCTATATGGTCTCCTGTCAACACTACCCAACTCTGCTGCTGTAGCTTGAAAGCAGCTATAGATGGTAAGTAAACAAATGGCTGTGTTCCAGTATAACCTTCTGTATAAAACATGCAGTGATCTACATAGAATTCACAAGCTATGGTCTGCTGACACTACTCCAACATATCACTGTTTTTTCCTCCATAGCACGTAACAAAATCTGAAATTATCTTGCTTATTGATTTATATGCTATTTCCCTCCACAACAATGGCAGCTCCAAGGAAGTGGGATCCTTGTTGCTTGTTCCCAGCTGGCTGTCCAGGGCCTATAAGGGAGTTCCTGACACATGGACAGTTCACTCTAAATATCTATTGATTGACTAGATGAATGAATACTATTTCACAAAAGGAGAAACAGATAGCCTGCCAACAAATGTATGAACTATATTTGGCCTTATTGTTAATAAATATGAAATAATTGAAAACATCATTTTTCACTTGTCAGAGCTATAATGGTTAGAGGAAGAGGAGGTGAGGAAGAAGTGGGAGGGAAGAGAGAGGAGGAAAGGGGAACTGGTGTAGATGGATGTGTGGGTACACTGACCTCATCCACTGCTTATGGAAGAGAGAAATTGATGCAACTTCGAGGTCTATTTGCAATTATATACCAAAACGTACATGCCAAATAAAAAATGGGCAGGGAATTGAATAGACATTTATCCAAAGAAGATATACAAATGGCCAAAAAGCACATGCAAAGATGCTCAACGAAATTAGTTATTAGGGAAATGGAAGTCAAAATCACATGAGATATCATTTTATACCTATGAAGATGGCTATTATAACAAAAAGGAAAATAAGAGTTGTTAAGGATGTTTTTGAGAAATTGAAACCATTGTACATTGCTGGTGGTAATGTAATATGTACAGCTACTGAAAACAGTTTGGGGGCTCCCCAAAAAGTTGAATACAGAATTGCTGTATCATCCACTAATTCTGCCCCTAGGTATATACCCCCAAAGAATTCAAAGAAAGTACTCAACAGATACCTGTACACCTAAATCTAGTGCAGCATTACTTACAATGCCAAAAGGCAGAAACAACTCAGATGTCCATTCACAAAAGAATGGATAAACAAAATAATGGAATATTATTCAGCCTTTAAAAGGAGTGAAATACTGATACGTAGTATAATGTGGATGACATTGGAAACATTATGCTAAATGAAATAAGCTGGCTATAAAAGGACCAGTATTGTGTAATTCCATTTATATGAGGTAGCTAGAATAGGTGAATAGTAGAATAGAGGTATAAAGTAGAACAGAGCTTACCAGGAGCTAAGGGAAGAGGGAATGGTGAGTAATTTAATGAGTACAAAGTTTGTTTGGGATGATGAAAAAGTTCTGGACATGGATGGTAGGGTGGTTGCACAACTCTGTGAATGTACTTAATGCCAATGAAGCGTACACTCAGAAATGGTTAAGACTGTAAATTTTACATTATGTATATTTTACCATGATGAAAAATGTATGTATGCTTTTTCACTCCAAAATCCTATTCCTAAGCATTAACCCTAAGGAGTAATGAAGAGTGAAATATACATATACTAGAGCCCATCAACCTTAAGATCATGAATAAAGATCTAGTTATATAAATAGAGCTGCTATAACAAAGACTATTACACAGGCATTCAATATGACAAGGTAGGCTTTTCACATAAAAATATCTCTATACTATTACTGTTCATTAAAAAAACAGGCTACAAAATGCATATTCAGTATGATCCCATTGACATAAAATTCTAAAGTTTATCTATACATAGGAAATTTTTCAGATATTTTCCAAAATGTTAGTGGTTGTCCTCTGAATGATAGATTTAAGATGACTTTAAATTATCCTCTTCATAATTATGTGTACTATTTGATTTTTAACAGACTATTTTTAACCAAAGCAACATGCTATTATTAACTCATGTTTATCATGTTTTCACATTAATTAAGGAGGGTTAGGCCCTTGATACTTTCATAATAGATGTTTTCTGTATTTCTGTTTCCATAGCAACAATAATACTTGTGAGAGAACCAGATATAGTTTAAAACAGGAAACAAACTGTGGGATACCAGGGGGGAATGGGTTGAGGTAAAGGGAATTAAACTTCCAGTGATAAAATAAGTCATGGGGATGTAAGGTACAGCATAAAGAATGTAGTCAATATATTATAATAACTTTATATGGTGACAGAGAGTAACTAGACTTATCATGAGGATCATTACATAATTTATGAAAATATTGAATCCCTATGATTACAGCTGAAATTAATAGGATATTGTAGGCTACTTTTATTTCAATAAAAATAAATAAACAAATAAATGAATAATAAAAGAGTTACATACCTCAGATAATGGTGTTACCTCTCTATCAGTCAAAAACAGACTTATTATTTCAGAGCAACATTCAATAATCATGTTCTAGAAATAAGAAGACAACACAATGAGGTTGATCTTATTGGTAAAATATTAGATATTTTCATTATAAGTTATTTATCATTTATCTTTTCTTGAAACATCACCTAACCCTAATTTCCACAATGAAGCTTAGAGGGCCTCAGAGGTCACAACCCCTCAAGTAACTCAGGTTATTTGGAAAAATACAGGATAACCACTAAAGATAATATTTAATAATGGATAATACATTATCTTAGGATTTAGGATTTTTTTGTCCTGGACATTCACTGTTAAAATTCATGGTACAGAAGAATAACAAGTAAAGTAATTCACACCAAAACAAGATTTTGGAAAATCACTTTTCTTCAGAGAGGAAAGCCCTGAAATAGAGGTTCAGATCCAAGAAAGGAGTTTGAGCAGAGAAAATGGCTGGGAATTGAGGGAGAAATGGAAAAAGCAAATGAAGAGGAAACGAGAGCCAATATCATGTGTTGTCTGGTGTTGATGACACTGCCACAGCCCCTCCTGTAAGGACACGGCTATGCCTCCATGTGGACCTCTGACCCCAGAGGGATCTACCTGTGGGCAGGGCCGAACAGTTATGACAAGTCAGAGGAGCCTAGAGGAGGCAGAGTGCAATGATAAACACCATGAACAGAGAAGACGTCCGGAGGAAGGGTCATGTGACTGAGCCTTGGAAGAGTAGCAGGGTTTCAGTTGGCAGACAATGGGCACAGGGACATGCCAGACACAGGGAGCCATGTGAGCAATGAAACAGTGGCTATTCAAGGAAGATAAAGGGTCCCATGTAGTCTTTACTGCAGGCGTGGATAGGAAGCATGGCAGCGAGAGGGGTGAGGAATAGGCTGGAGAGGTAAATTTAAAATGGAACATGTGAAAAAGTAAGGAATTTGGATTATGTTGTGTAGGAAATTGAGAGGCACTGGGCTGAGGGAATAATCCAATTGCTTTAAAAAGATAAATCTGGCCACAGTTTAAAGGTGAACTGTACTGGGAAGAGAGAAGAGAAAGAGAAATCAGCTAGGAAGCTACTCAAACTGTTTGCCCAGGGAGTGACCAGGCCTAGAAATAAGCCAGCGTCCATGGGACCAAAACAGATGGAGGGCAGGCAGGCCATCCACACTGCTCAGGGCACACGGGTGTCCCAAGAGGAGCATTCCAGCCTCCTCCTCCACTTCACTAGGCAAGGGGGGACACCATCCACTCCTATGTACTCTTCTTATTTATCCATATTTCTATATTTCGAATGGAATTATTAGGACTGGTTAAAGGACGTTTTCTTTCTATATAAAAGTTTTCAATAACAGCCATGATGGGTTACTGTCATGATTTCAACAAGAGCTATCAAGCAAAATGACACAGTCTGTATCATTAATCATTTCACATAACAAATGAAGACAGCAATGTTACTGATGAATGCCTTCCATTGCCTGTCTCAACATTTATAATACAGAAATTTCGTCTCAGCAACATTCTATTTCTTTGCCATTATTTGAGGTAAACCACATAGACACGTTGGAAATTGACTCGATGTTGGGCTGTGAGAGACCCCACGTGACCCTGCTACCGCAGAATGCAGACGGGGCAGGTCCTGAGCTCATCAGTCCCGAGCAGAAAGCTGCCAGAGGCGGGCTGCAGCTGGCGAGGGGGCCGGCAGGGCCCCCAGTGACACCGCTCTATCTTTGCCTTTTTTACCCTGAAAGAGGAGCATCTGTTGATTCTATGACAGATGCCCTCTAAGTTACTTCACAAGTAACAAAGCCAAATCTTTGACTTAGCTGAAGTCCTTATCATCCTTTAGGGTGGGTCATACGACGCCCTCCCAGGCGCTGCCCCCACCTTCTCCTGCTCCCAACACCCATCCCTACAGTCCTTCCCTGCAGGGCAAAGTTCATTCACTTATTCACTCCACACTTACAGAATGCGTCCTAAGTGCCGTGAGTGGTAATGAACAAGATGGAAAGAGAGCCCTCAAGGAGCTCCTGGTCTGGTGGAGGAACAGGAGAGGCGGACTCCTACAGCACTGTGTGGTGAGACGGGAGGCAGGAAGCATTCGGTCCCACTCACCTCCTCCTCAGTCCCACCTCCCACCACCTGCACCCTGCACTCTTCCCCAGCAGATGTCTCTCTGTCCCGTGAATTCAGTTCCGTGTCACACCTCCCTGCAATATCTGTTCAGACTGTATCCTCAGTCGGCAATGAGTGCTCTCCACAGGTCTCCAGTTAGAAGGGTCACAAGCAAGTACAAAAGAGGTACTTGGCTTCAGCTGCTGGGCTAGCTATTGGAGGTAAGATGATGAATGAGACCTCCAAGCAAAGGAATTTGCAGTCAGGAGAGAGGAACAGATATAGACAGATAATTGCCAAAACAATGCATGAAGGACACAGGGTTACTTTGTGGTCGAAGGGAAAATGGCCTTTATTTCAGTTATAGGGGCTACAAAATGCTCTTGAGCTGTTTAGGCAAGTACAAAGTTTAGCTCAACTTTCTCTCTCTCTCTCTCTCTCTCTCTCTCTCTCTCTCTCTCTCTCTCACACACACACACACACACACACACCCCTATGTAAATGAGATTTAAAGGACAATAAATTAGAATACTTTGGGTTATTAGAATAACCCCACCATTGAGAAGGAAGGACTTTGCCATTTTATATAGGGTAGAATCCGGATAATGGTGGAAATAGGAAAACTGAAAGAAGTCAGAGAGGCTACACTGAACTACGTAATAAACAACTGAGCCAGAGCAGGAAGGAGAGAGGAAACAGAACCCTCCTTGCAGGCTGAGTTGGGAGGGAAAGTTTTAAGAGTTTGAGCCAAATAAGACAGATCTTGGAGAGCAGCTGTGGATGTAAGAGAGACACTAAGAGCAAGACAGTTGGGGGAAAAAGATTGAAAAGAAGTTTTGCTGTATATAATGAAAGGATTCCCTCTTAGATATTTTTATGAAAGATTTCACAAAAACTGAGATTATCTTCAATGGTTTTGAACATCAGATTGATGTTTCTTTAAACACCACACTTTGCTAAGAGGGGGCTTCCAGGTGGCTGGGCTCATTATGAATGATGTTTGGGTACCGATGGCCACATTCAAACAATGATCATCTCCTCTAGGACAGGAACCTATTGTTCTGATTTCTGTATGTCATCTCCCCAGGCCTGGAAAATTTTTGTACATAATAGCTCCTCAAAAAGAATTTGTTAATTGATGCTGATGTCCAATTGTATTTTGTGCTATGTTTTCATAGTACTTTGATATTTGCGATATGTTGACTGTATACTACTTTTAATCACCTCGTACAATCCAGGTATTCCACCAATATTTGCTGAACTCAGCTTAGGTGGCTTAGTAAACATATTTTAAGCTTTTCACATCAGTATGCTATCATTCCAAATGGGGTGTTTTTCTCTTAAAATCAGGATGGTTTGCATCGTTCAGGTTCTTTAAAGCACCTGGTAAGCTCTGAAGACACCCCTAAAGCTGTGAATGACAGGTTAAAATAACTCAGTCATTCTGAGCCAGTGTTATTCATTTCAGAAGGACATACAAGGTTTTCGAGCCAGGAATGATAGGAACACCTGTTCTGTAGCCCTCCCAATACATCTTAAAATAATATCTGTGATCTGAATTTCTTGGCTTATTCTAGACCATAGACATTTGGGAGGAGGGAAAGAAAAAAAGGAAGGGAATGAGATAGAGAACAAGATTCACTACCTCCCATATCAACAAAAGGCACATTTTCTGGACCTTTATATTTAATAACTCACCAAAAATCTATACACTGTGATAGAAATAAATATATTAGGTAATAGAGGTTATGAGGTCCTGTCCAATTTTGGAGCAGAATCGATCGTTTCAAGTGTCCTTGTTAACTTCTAATTAGCTCCAAGTAAGGGTTGTCATGACAACGAAGGGGCAGATTTAGTCAATGGGATTTATTTTCTGTAACAGAGGATCTAGGTGCTGGTTAGCATACTGGATAAAAGAAAGCTGTGCATGTTCCTTCCATTTCTGAACTAATTTGTTTGCCTAACTGCCCAAACAAATATTAGTTTTTCTTTCACTTGGTGACATTCTCGCCTACATAGAACTAACAGAACTGGAACATGTCTAAAAATGCTCTACTTAAAGCTGAAGAAACACATGAAGCAAGACACAAACCTTGGTTAAGGCAAGGAAGGTTCTCTGGATTCCTCCCTCTGCTTACATTCAAAAGCCTCCCCTCTTGCTCCCACTTATTCTGGATTTCTTCATATTCATAGTCAATCTCTTGCCTCAGATACTGGCAAGAAGTTGTGATGAATTTGATCGAATTTGATACCTACATTGGATTCCCAAGGAAATTCTGATGACTTGCATTCCAAAACAAAGAGACTGTTTTTCCATCTCAGAGCAGTATCAGAGTGAAAGAATCATTTTCAGATGAGAGAGGAAAATTAGTTCCATGAAAGGTTAAGTGACTGATCCCTAGGTAGTAAAGTTGAGTAGCAGAGAACAACCTAGAATCCCTCCTCTAATGGATGCTAAGTCACCTGCTTCAGATGATCAATGCTGAGAAAACAAATGGGTTCAGGAGAAAATAATCATTTTTCATACATGAATTCTACAGAAGTGGACTCGGGGACAATTTCAGCAAAGAATATTGTAGACTGTCGCTCAAATACAGCTATCTGGTAAGTTTGGTCTTATGACTGAAAAACTGATTTTAAGTGACCTACAAAAGAAGTTCAGAAATAACACGAGTGGGATTCTTCTTGAAAAAAATATATGAAAACAAACCATGAACTTTATGAAAAGAAATTTATATTATATATACTATATGTATATGCATATATAATTTCATAGTTGTTTGGCATTTCTGATCTAATGGGAGAATTATAAGCGCTCAGTATATCAGTAGTATCATTAAACATCTGGTCATTGGTGCAGTAACATCTGAGGTCACTGAAAAGGAAGTGCAAACCACATTCTAAGACATCAACTCTATCATAAATCTAAGCACAGGGCAGAGATGTAAATAGTGGAAAGTGCCATTTTGCAATGGCTAATTGTTCTTGCCCAATGAACCCTCTTATAGCTGGGCTTGTTGCTTTCACAATAATGAATACTGCATTCACTCACTCTACTGGCAAATTCAGATTGAAAATGCCGCCAAGTATATTCTGAAATCAGGATGGTTTCCAATTTTCACACTTTACACAGTGCATGCAAAGATGAGGTAAACAAGGATATGAAAAGAGCCACACCAATACTATGTTTCTAAAGAATTAAAAACAATTTTTTATTGGTAACCAGTGAAATATTAACCAAGTAGAAAGTGATTTAAGAAGAAAGACAAAACAGATAAATAAAGGGTGAGATCCTAGAAGCTTTCAGAGGAGAAAAACAAAGACGGGACCCAAGAGGCTGGGAATTCAACCAGGAAAACAGCACAGAGAGGTCTCAGAAGCAGAGCGGTGCTACAGCACTGCTGCCAACTGGTCCTCACTAGAGCAGGAGGATGGGGGCTTTCCAGAAAAAGCAAAAGAAATTGCGACTTTTTGATAAGCATGAACATCTGGAAAAAAAATCTATGAATGAACATATGAAAGCTCTGATATACTGATCAGAAAAGAGGCAAGTCAAGAAAAAGCAAACATTTTACTTGACGGTGAATCGTGCATATGGGGGCATAATAGCATAAATACTGGATACTGATTTAACTGAATTTTGTGTTGTTACAGTATTTAGAAGGGCAGAGGAAAGGAGAAGTTGGGGAGAAGCATAAGTAAGTTAATTCTTACATACAATAATCAAATCAATAGATATTATCTAAAATTGATACAAGGAAAAAACAATAATTATTTGTAGCTACTAGCATTATTCATCAGTATTTCTGTCTTTCCTCCTTCCAAGCTGGTAGTGTACGACATATTTGGTCAATGGAATGTTAGCGGAGGTGCAATGACAGAAACCTTAAGAGCCAGTGTGTGATTTGCCCCCTTTCCTACTTCCTTCATGGGACACGACGTCCCGTATGGTGGCTGTGCTGCCAGCCTCGATGCTGCCATGAGCAGACGTGGAGCAGGGCCACAGCTGACCCACTCAGATTTGAAGGTTGTTTGTTACCTTGATTTTCATGAATGTTACTGCATATTTTTCATATGTGTGGGAGTAAATAACAAAAGAAACACCTTGAAGAGTTGAAAATGGTTGCCTCTGCAAGCAGCACTTGGCGTGAGGAGAGACTGGGCAGGAGATTGGCACCTTTTATTCTAAGCCTTGTAGATCTACTTTATTTTTAAATAAATGGACAATAACTGAAGTATCTATACCTCCAGAAATTGGTCTAATGTGCGAATGTAAACTCAAAGAACAAGTGACATAGGCAGGAACACATATTCCCTGTTCCTCTCATTTCCATAGAAAGCAAGAAATTTCCACTCCACTCCTGAAGAAGAAGGGACATTTTGGGCTTCATCCAGACCCATTACTAATTTACTGACTGGAAAGGAGAGTGATTTATCTGATTGGTGAGTTTGGGAAAAGCAACAGAGCATGCTGGGCTCAGCCCCTTCCGGGCAATCTTTGTTTATAACATTGGAGGCACCTGCGGGATGACCAGTGCCTGCTTCTCAGTAGAGTAAGCCTGGTGAGCACCGAGGGATAGAGGGGAAATCCTGTGGTCATAGGAGTATGCCAGATGACAGCCTGAGGACGGGGGCAGGTCTGGCTAATTCAGAGGTGAAATGTTAGTCAACTCATTTGGTCACAGATCTAAAGCCATGTGTGCTAATCAGCTTCATCAGCAAGGAGGCTGACAACATTCTGATCGCCACATATCTACATATCTATCTGCTGTGTCCCATTCATCTGTGGGTTCAGTACTCAGCAGGGGAGAAAGGGAAACAGCCCTCTGTTCCCAAACACAAACATCAGTCATCACAAAGACCACTCAGCTGGGTGCTCAATTTAATAATGCACCAAAACGATACTGCCTCTTTTTGGCTAGAAAAATATATTTGCATGGAAAAAAGAGTCTGAAAGATATAGGCATATCTGTATTTTCTAGTTTCTACACATTTCTTGGGTAATACGAATGTTCAAGTCATAGACTTAAGAGTGGAAAAAGTAGCAGTAATGATATAAAGCTACAGAGCGTTGTTTTTTAGATTCACAGTTATATCTGAATCATCTCCCTAGGTTGTCTTTGTTTTCATTCCCCATCAGATTCTTATAATTGGTATGCCAGAAGAGCTTTGAAGGAAGCACTGTTTATGTATCCAAAGTTGGGTCCTATCTGGTACTCTAAAGTAGATGAAAGAGAGGAAAGAAGAGTCACAAAATGCAAGTTTAGGAACATAGCTCTGCTTTGATGAAGTAAAAAATCATTTAAATCAGTGTGTATGATGACATCTCTCCAGCAATAGCAGTGTAATTTCCATTATTTGATAACTTACTTCCATCTCTGCATCAATTGGTTTTTCTTCCTTTTCTTCTATTTCAGATTCACTTTCATTTGAAGTAACTTCAGGAGCTGATGGCAATGATATTTCAGCTATTTGCACAAGATTAGATAGTTTCTCGTGAATTGTAATAACTCTAAAAATAACAAATATATATACATGTATTTTATTTGAAACATTATGAAAGGCATTCATTTATTTCTAGAATTGGTAATACGTGTGAAGTAAGTCCTCAGTTATTTAACACTTAGATCTCTAGCATTCCCAAACATCACGCATTTATCTATTCCTTTATTCAAGAAACATGAGCAAAGAGACACAGTTCTAACCCACATAATGTTTATGATCTAGTTATATACTTAGATAGATAATTAGAAACTGGCAAAGTCACCATGAAAGAAATGCACACATATGAAACATTGCTTAAGACGAAAATACAGAAAATAAATACCTACTTGGGCAAAGAAACTCCAGGCAATGACAAAAGATTAGTCCTGTGTAAACTTAATGCCATGCTATGACTATCTGGCTCTGACCTGAAGGCAAGAATTATGAGCAGTCAGCCACGGTTTTAAGAGGCCAGTCAGTAAGTCCACAGCAATGAAGTGCATTGGGTGGAGGGCACGGGATAGATGGAAGAATCAAGATAGAAAGAAAAGCAAAAGCCAAGCAGGAGGGCAGAGGACATAGCAGCAATTATGCTGAAGATCGGAACCTTGAACCGTGGATGCTCTGAAAGTAGAGATGAATCAGTGAAAGGAATCAGAAGATGGAGGAGTATTTCAAACAGCTGAAGGAGGCAAATGGCCACCTGCATGGCCCTCGGTGGCTCTACACTTCAGGCACAGCACATATGTGTGTGCATCGATGTGAGTGTCTGTATCCAGGGAAGTAGGGAAATTTTCATGAGAAAGAAGTAATGATCCAGAAAAACAAACTGACATCAGCAACGTATGCAAGAATATCAATTCTCCAATTTTCCATAGCATCTTCATCTGTAGCATGGTATAATACTTGATTATTCTAATGATGGTTCTCAGTAATAGACGATAAAAAAATTCCTTTAATTATATAGAGGAGAGTCTGAAATTATATACTATGATTTAGAAGCTTTTCCATAAAAAAAGGAGATGGTGAAAATGTAAAGATCAGTTACTAAAATGTTATTTGGAAAACTTCTCCATTAAAAATATGGGTCATTTCTCATAACACTGGAAAAGCTGCCTGATTCACTGGAGAGAGGACAGGATTAGAACTCCAGGCCTTGGGTGAATCATACTTGGCTCCATCGCAGACTAGCCACAGAGAAGTCACCTAACTTCTCTGACCCTGGTATTTCCTCTACTGCAAGACTGAAACAATAAAATCCACTTCTAATTCACAATAGTTTTGTATGATGAAATGCATAACTACATACATTTTTTTAACCATAAGTATCCACATAAAGGAAAGATGATATTCTAAAATACCATTCTTCATTCTAACCACCAGAGAAACAACTCTAATTTCTTTTCTAAAAATAGCATAGCTTCCCTTCATAATACCTGGAATTGCAGGAAGGACAACCTAGTCTTTGAGGTTTGGGTTGCAGATAGTCAATGAATGTCCAGAGCTGCACTGTCTGCTTCAAAAATAAATGACCTGGTTTAGCTCCATAAAAAGCAGCCGGGAACTGGGCAATGCAGCAGGGCCCTGGTGCAAAGAGCAACACCAGGGGACCCAGAGTGTCGGCTTCAGGGTCAAGTGCTCCACACCCTCATCTGCCCCGAACCTCACCTCTCCCATCCAGTCAACACTTTTGAACTCCCACCTTGGCACCACAAATGTCAACATCCCAACTGGGCAAGACCAGCTCCTCATCAAGGCTCTGCTGTCATTTACTGACACATGGACATTCTCTACCCCCCAGTCTGCTGTGGCCTGGAAGCAGGACCCAACTGGTAGAAACACAGATGTCAGGAGACTTAAAGGCAGAAACAGTAGGTAGAGAACTTGTTCTTGGTCAAAAGAGCATAATTAAATAGAACTACACAGAAACTTCTATGTATGTTTATTGAGAATACTATCTTTTCCTTTGTTGCTATAAGAAAAAAAGCAAAGAATTAAAATATTTTTCCTAAAGTAACTTAACTAGAAGATGAAGAAGTAAAAATGAATGATTAAAGGGGAATTGCCCAATTTGAAGGTTTTTCAAGTTCCTTTGCTGGTTCATTTTTTCTGACCTGTTTTACTCTTATTTTGCCTTCTAAAGGATGATCAACAGGAGCAATTCCGCATGTATCGATTTCATTTTGGCCCTCATAGGAACAGAAGGAACACCAGCGTAAGCGAGAGAACTAGCCCAAGTGAGAGAACCATGCCACCAAGATGAAAGACTGTCAGGTCCCCTCCTCTGTGATGGCCTCAATGACAGGGGTGTGTCCCTAACTTTAGTAACCCTACCACTGAGCATAAACACATCAAAAATCAGAATTTTTTGGAATAAAAAAGAATGCTGTCAGTTTCAAAACATTCTACTCCACAGACATTGTAATAATCATTTTCTTCATGTGATTCTGAAAAATAGTCCCACTGTGTTTCTGGATTTACAAGGCAAGTGCATAATTTCCTAACTTCATTACTTAGCTCTGCTGGTACAAATTCTGTGTAAAGTATTTCTACCATATCACTGAAAAAAGTAAAATAAAATTGAGTGAACAATTAAGAGTGCAGCTCTTTAAACATCTCTTGCTCTATATGAGGCCAAAGAGTTTTTCAAAATAAAATGCATGGAGTGTGAGTAAGACTCTTCAGGGAAGGACAGAGAAGTACCAAGTCTGTTCATTAAGCACTTAGTAGGTGCCTAGCAGGGCAAAGAGCTAACCCTGAGAGACACAGGGTTTAGTAATGAGATTTGACATTTGCCCCATGCTTTTGGCCTTTCAAAGTACATGCATGCATATTGTCTGGCTTGATCCTAACAACAACCCCGAAAGGTAGGTAGAGTAGATATTATTTTTATTGTACAACTGAGGAAATGGAGACTGAGGCCACAAAGGCAATGGACAATGGAATCGTAACCAAATTACCTAAGCAATGAAAAAATTAAATGCAAACTACACATTTGCTAAAGTAAAATAGGAGAAAAAGACACCAGGCATGAGCAGAAGTTAGAGATATGCTCTGTCTGATGGAGAGGAAGGAAAACGACCTGGCTCAGGCAAGATTTTTGACTTGGGAACAATATAAAACAGGATTGGATACAGAGGAAAGGGTGAGGCAAGGCATGTGGTGGAGTAGGCACTTCGTTTTGCAACCCAATACAGGGCTATATTAAGTTTTTTTTAAACACACCCCAAATTACAGGCAAAATACAGCACAGACAATATCCCCTTACTCTGTATAATACTTATGAAGTGTCAGGCACTGCCCCTCCAGCAACCCCAGGTACTATTGCTATTTCCCTTTCACTGATAAGGAGACTGAGGCACAAAGAGGTTAAGCAACCTGCTCAAGGATGTGAAGGTAGTAAGGTGCCCAGCTGGCATTTGAGCAAAGCAGGCTGGATTCCGAACCACTGCAATATCATAATCTCATAAAGAAAAGGAATACTGTTCTAAAAATGTCCTTTAAAAGTTCTCCTAGGATTAATCTTGTATGTTACTAAACAGCCTGTTCTTATGAAAACATCAGCCAAGAGGGTCAGAGTGCAGACAACCCATTTTTACTTGCCTGCTCAGTGGAACCCAGAAAGAGCCAACATACACATCACTACACGTGGTATATATAACATCTGAAATCTTCAGAGGCTTCATATTATATGCATACAACAACAAAACCTATAAGAAAATTGAAAGGCATGTAAAATGTGACATCAAAAGTACACTTTGAGAATGCAGCATCAGTTCTCAAAATAATATCATTAGCATAATACCCTCTAGGGACAAATACCATGTAACTTCACTTACCTGTGGAATCTGAAAGCAAAACATAACAAAATGAATAAGACAGCAATAGACTCATAAACACTGAGAAGTGACTGGTGGTAACCACGGAGGAGGGTTTGGGGTGGGTCAGGAGACCAAAGGCGGTAAAGGGGCACAAAAAGTCTCAATTATAATATAAACTGGTCACAGGGACAGTAGTATAGCATGGAGAATAGAGCCAGTGATTCTGTACCATCTTCTTATGTTGACAGATAGCAACTGTACTATTTGGGGTGAGGATTTAATAATATGGGTAACTGTTAAACACTGTGTTGTATACTTGAAACCAACCTAAGAATGTATATCAACCAGACTTCAATAAAAAAGGGAAAAAAATATCCTTAAACTTTGAAAAGTTTTTCTTTGAAAGAGAAAAAAATTTTCAACTTACTTCAAAGAGAAATGATATGAACAAGAATTGTGCAGTTTATGAGATGAAAAGAAATGCTATTTGATAAAAATATTATCTTTTTGAAGAGTAACACTTCTTACTACAACTAAGTGTAAAATGCAGTCTTTGAAGGCCCTCTTCAAGAACTAAATACAGACCTGGTGAATATCCACTTTTGTATCTTGCTACTTCTCAATAGTACCTTTCCCATCGGTGGTCAAAACCACTTCTCTGTGTTCACTTATGCAGGCCCCTTCCTCTTCCCTCCATTGTTCAATCTATACACAACTTTCTAGTCCCCAGCTTCCAAGATGAAACTTCTCCTAATGATTCACGCTCTACTAATTTCCCTGTTGTTTGAATTCTGGCAGTCACAGAGTCATACACTTTGACATTCATAGAACCTTAGAGATGATCTGGTCAAGTCCCTAATTTTAGATACAAGAAAGCTGAGGCCCAGAGTTTCCAGTGCGAATTGGCTAATTAAGTGCACATATTTTCTCATCTGCCTTGTCACTTAAGCTGAAATAAAAGTAAAGGGATTTTGGAAAAGGCATAGATCCATAAAGACCAACAGGACCAGAGAGGATGTGAAGCAGACAAGAGATGTTAGCAATACACTGAAATATGGAAAGCATTTGAAAGAGCCTTAGCTCACTCAAAAGTCAAGAAGGGCTGTGTCCCAGTGGCCTGCAGGGGGGTTGCTAGCAACAAGCATGACCCTGAGCCCTGAAAACACTTGGGGCTGGAGGTGTCCCCAGACAACCTTCTTTCCATCCCTTCTCTCAGC